CCAATTTCATCAAAAGCGCCTTGTTCATTGTCCGCTGGTCTTTAAAACCTAGCCCCCCCTGCCGCCTTGGATCGACACAATTCCTCTCAACGCACCAAACTAATTTTCTTCTGGGCATCCGTAATTCCCCACAAAAAGCGACGACATCTCCTGTCGATGCTCGTGCACACTAAGGATGGCATCCACGCAGTTTGCATCGTTAAAAAGGCAAGGTATTCACTACGGATTGGATCACTGTGGCCCTACCCGCCAGCGACAGAGACGAACTCTTCCACCCTGAGAGCAGTGATTCGGTCTTATGTAAAATATTAGCGTAGGTCTCGTGATTCACTCTCCCGTGGATGATTGGCATACCTAAGTATTTCCCCAGATTTTCCACAAGCTCATAGCCCATTGAGGAAGTCATGTCCTGGGCTGCATCCGTGGGTACATTTTTGGAGAAGAAGATTTTCATCTTCGGCATGCTGACTTTTAGGCCGGATTCACGACAGAAATCATCAAGGACGTCTGTTAAAGCACTGGCTTGGTCAGGCGTTGCCTCGGTAAACAAGATTAGATCATCCACGAACATCAAATATGGAACCTGCACCTTGCCCCGGCCTAGTGATATCAGCTTCCACTTGCCCTCCTAAACTTTCCGGTTGATGCTCAAAGCTAAGAGTTCCATGGAAAAAACAAAGAGGTAAGGGGAGATCGGGTCGCCTTGACGGACTCCCCGAGTCGGGGTGAATTCTTCACTGGAGCTTCCATTCCATGATAATTGCATGGTTGCGGAGGTTACACACGTCATAATACTTGTCACAAATGCACGGGGAAAACCGGCTAAAGAGAGTGTGCTTTCCAGGAAATCCCATCTCAAGTAATCGTAGGCTTTCTCAAGATCAACCTTGACGATCATATAACCTTTTCTGCCTGTTAGATTCCGCATGGTATGAATGAGCTCTTGAGCAATGATTATGTTATCGGTAATGTGCCTACCTGGGATAAAGCTGACTTGAGCCGGCCCAATTAACCGCGGCATGAGCCCTTTCATCCTCGTTGTAAGCACCTACGTTATGAGTTTGTAAACCACGTTCAGGAGACTTATTGGCCGGAAGTCATTAATTGTACTTGGGTGGTCGACTTTGGGTAGGAGCACGATAAGAGTTTTGTTCAACTGTCGTGGCATAGATCCTCCATGCAAAACTTGGCAAACAATTTTACGGACTGACCGCCCCACGATGTTCCAATGTTTTTGGAAAAAGAGCGCATGAATGTCGTCCAGGCCCGGGCCTTTGAGGGGGTGCATGGAGTTAAGGGCCTGCAAAATTTCTGTTTCTGGTACATCTCTGGTTAGGCGCTGCCATTCATCCGCTTGCAACTCTGGGAAAACCACCGAATTCTGCCCACAGCCGGTTGAAGGGAGAGGACCCGCCGTGTAAATTTTAGAGAAAAAATTGATAGCAAGCTGCCGCAGTGTAGTCTGGTCTTCGACCAAGACCCCCTCAGCATTTCGCAAGGCCGTGATCTTATTTCGACGTCGACGATGCTTAATCGAACGGTGAAAGAAAGTCGTGTTGCAGTCCCCGAATAAAGTCCAATCTCGGTGGGATTTTTGTAAGAGGAGCAGCTCTTCATGTGCTAGTGTTTCTTTAAGCTCTGCACTTAGGTCTCGTTCCATCGCGAGAAGTCGGTCAGTGATGTAAACCTGCAAATGTCGTTGGACTCCTCCCAACCGAGCTAGCAAGCGTTTCTTCCGGAGAAAAATATTCCCAAAGACCTGACTGTTCCATTTCGTAGCTACAATGGAGAAATTATTTGCCGCCATTAGGTAGTCTGAGGAGGTCCACGCTTTTTCTACTAGCTCGCCGAAGTCTTTATGCATGAGCCATGATGCTAGAAATTTGAAAGGCTTTGGACCCCTCATCACTTCATCCGGGTCACGGCTGCAATGTAGCAACAACGGGGTGTGATCTGATTGGTGGCGCGGTAAATGGGAAACAAGCACCGAGCCGAAACGATCCAGCCACTGTTCATTCGCGATTACTCGATCTAGCTTCTTCTCAATATTCAGGCCGAAGCATGTGTATTGGAAGCCGTCAGTTTTGACCTCCAAAAAATCGTTCGCAAAACAACAGTCGGAGAAGCTCGTGTCAAAAGAGAGACCGCTCGCTCCCCCTCGTTGTTCTTTCGGGCTCAAAGTGTAGTTAAAGTCCCCACCGAGGACCCAGGGCGAACGAATACCACGCGCCAACGTGTCCAGGTCATCCCACAGCTCTCGACGGCCTCTTGGGTTTGGACTTGCGTACACGAAAGTGAACAGAGACTCTCAGGACTTGGTTTTCACCATGGCGTGCACAAATTGCTTATGGCACTTTATCACCGTTAATTCCACGCTATCGTTTCACAAAATCCAAATGCCGCCCGAGAAACCGATGACCTCCACACGGAAAGAGTGATCGTATCCGCTACGTTTTACGAATCTATCAGATTTCTTGCCACTCACTCGTGGTTCAAAAAGCGCCACAACATCTGGTTTATAACTATCTTTAAGAGTTAAAAAGGTCTGGCTGAAAGTTAGTGAGCCAGTGCCTCTAACATTCCAAAACATAACACTCATGGATAATAACGGAGGAAGAGGGTGCTCCCTACTAGCAAGCGCGAAAGAAAACAAAGTTATCTGGTGTCTCCATGACCATGGTATCGTCCTGCACGTCTTCTATCCCAGGAGAAGTTTGGTGAATAGAGAGAGATCCTTCATCCATTATAGTGTCTCCCGGATCAAGTACAATCGGTTTTCCTACTGTCTCTTGAATTTCCATAATTCTTACTGCCGTGTGATAGGTCGGGTCGAGTCCCGAGGTAGCAGGGAATACCTGTGTTGTTTACTTGATAGCCAAGTCCACCATGTCCTGTCGGGTGCCATCGTGACCCATTCCAGTACTACTCGTTCGCCCATTTTCCTTATGATCGTATGATGCGCCCGTTCCTTTGATCTCCTTTGTTCTGGGTGTGCTAGCCATTCCTCTCGGATTTCTCTCCTTCTCACCCAAAGGGTTGGACGCCGCTCTTCCCTCCTTAGAATTCGCACCTCCTTGGCCGGT